TCCATTCATCCATCTATTGCAATAGCAGTTAGACTTATATATCACTTCAGAGTGCTTCCAAGACCTCTCTAAGAAGTTTATAGAGTCAGCCTCTTGCCCCCAGCAATCTGAGTCCTCATTTTACCCACCTCGGAAGGACGGAAGGCAGTCGGTCAAGATTGCACTGCTGGCAGTGGGCAGAGTCAGCCGGCAATACTGCATTCTAACCATTGGGAGGGAGGGAGGATTCATTTTACCTTTCTCGAAGGCCGGAAGGTTGAGTCAACCCTGCACCTGGTGAGATTTTAACTGCCAAATTGCAGGCAGTCAGCAGAAGTCGCCTGCAGTACTGCCCTCTAACCACTGCGCCACCGTGGCTCATAAAGCACATTAGGGCTGATGATAACTTCCCCTGTTGGTCCCACAGGAGCCAGAAGAGAACGAAAACGGCAAGAACTTAACCGTGGCCCAACAGAAAGCTCAGCATATCATGGAGTCCTTCGAGAACCCATTTCGAATGGTAAAAAAACCACATATCCCCCCCCCCCCCGGTTCTTACTATTTGGCATTTAAAGAAGACACAAATCCATACCTTAATTCAAGGGTCCCCAGCTGGCACCGGTCTGCAGCCTGCCAGAAACCAGACCTCGCCATCAAGTGAAGCCCTATCCGTGGGATGCAGGCAGCAGACGAAACCACATCTCCCTCCAGTCTATGGAAAAACCTCTTTCCATGGAACCGGTCCCTGGTGCCGAAAAGATTGGGAACCGCTGCCTTAACCAATATCCCAGCCCCAGTGGTGGGTTCCGGCTGGTACGCGCCAGTATGGGCATACCGGTGCCTGCTGCTCCCAGCAGGCACCGTACCGGAACGGTGCTTTGGAGGGCCCACCCGCCTGCATTCCATACCTGTATTTGACCCAACCAGGCCATTTGCGCCATGTACGGCACCTGCGCAATGCTCCACCAAGCAGCTGGAGCATTGCAGGGTGGTGGGTGCGCATGCATGCATGTGGTGGGCACCAAGCCCCGTCGCAGCGTACCGGTGGTGGTGGGATCTGGAACCCACCACTGCCCAGCCCGTAGGTGTGTCCACACACTCTTGCCATAACTAAGGTGTCCCTGTTGTTGTTTTTACTTCGCTTAGTATTTGCCAGCAGAGCTCAACCCCGTTCACATCTCTCAAGCTGCCAAGTCGGACCCGTCCTCAAAAATCTACGAGGTAAGAACATTTTCATAAACCAATGGCCAGTTCGTTGCAATGGGAGGCTCCCCGGATCTCACAGTGGCCTCCTGTCCCTTCTCTGCCCCAAGAGAAAGCCAGGGCTGATCTGGCCGGCGGAAGATGGCTTCTCTCTCTCTTTTTTAAAAAAAAGTTTTTTACTGAACACAAATTAAAACATTGGCCACAGTGTAACCGTCCTGGCGAAATATAAAGTTATATATTGTAACCACCCTGCTTTTTAACATTTGATCTCTTCCGTATTTACAAACATAGAAATATCCTATTTCCAACCATGTTGCTTTGGGTTGATCTTACACATTTTCACTATTATAGTTTCATACATAATTCTGGTCTCCATTCTATGAATCTTAGCCATTACCTATTTTGAGTCTTTCCTTTTTTGTTCCAACCGTCGATAAAATTTATCCCAGATCTTATAATATTCTGATTCGTCTTTATTCTTCAATTCCCATGTCAATTTATCCATTTCAGCGCAAGTCAGAATTTTCCTAATTATTTCCCCTTCTTGTGGAGTTTCCCTATTTTTCCAGTTTTGGGCAAAGACCATTCTTGCTGCCATAATAATATGCATTGTTAAGTAAATCACACATCCCTTGTTATATTTATTGTTTATAATTCCCAAAAGAAATAGTTCCGGTGTGAATTCTATTTCCTCTTCGGTTATCTCTATCAGCCACTTTTGGATTTTCTGCCCATATTCTTTTGTTTTTTGGCATGACTACCACATGTGGTAGTACATGCCTAATTCATGGTCACATTTCCAACAATTTGGTGCTGAGTTTCTAAATGGGAGATGGCTTCTCAAAGGCAGCATCTTGTCTTTCAGATCAGTAACCGGTGGAAGCTCCTCAGCCAGGCCCAGCTCCAGGCGGCAGCAAAGAAAGTCCCTGTAAAGCAGAAACTTCCGGCAGGTGAGGATGAGTGGCTTGGTTGGAGACGGTTCGTAAAAATGTGAGCCCAAAGCATCGTTGGTCCTTCTTCTGATGCAGGATCCCCCTAAGGGGAGGATAGAAGTCCTACCTCATAGGGGTGGCAATCTAGAACAGTGGTCCCCAACTTTGTGGCTTAGCAGCCCAGCTGGGATGGGGAGTGTGATAACCCGGGGCGTGGCACAAAGGCAACTCAGCCAGAGAACCCGTATGAGTCCCTTTATTAACACCAACTGTGCCCCTAATGTCCCTTTCAACTCTCTGGCCTGGCGAAAAGCTCTCCCACAAACCTGTTAACAGCCTTTGGCTGAAAATACACCAGTCCAAACGTTGTAAGCAGAAAACTTCCAACTATGAATCCAACCAGACAAGATAAGGTAATTAATCTGGCAGGTCAAGCAAGATAAGAAGTAGCATGTCAGTGAATCAAACCAGTTGGGAGGATGACAGGAACTCAGATAAAGCAGTTAAGACAAGATGAACTTGCATTTCTTCCCAACAACCGCCCCTCCCATTTGCCTCTCCTTTAAACTCCATCCCCAGGTGTGCCTTGTGAAGGGAATTGAGGCCCACTCCTCCCTCGTAAGCCACGCAACCCATGTGGCTCTCTTCTCTGTTCTGCCCTGTGTGCCCTAGGATGAGGAGGGGGCGGGCCTTGGTCTTTATCTGAACCCCCCCCCCTTGTTCTACCTCTCCCCTGCTCTGCCCAGCCTCATTTTGCCCTTCCCCAGTTTCCTTCTCAGTCAAGGGAGCCACTCTCCTGCTTTCTGTCAGCTGTTTGGGGAGAGAGGGGAGCTGGGCTAGGTGAGCGGCAGATCGGAGCGCACGCAGCTCCACTTGCACGAGTGGCAAGCCGGTGCACATGCGTGCGAGCGCCCACTGGCCCGCCGCTCGTACAAGTTGAGCTGCGTGCATATGCGCTCCAGCCAGCTACTTGTGTGACTTAATTCACGGATCTAGAATAGGTAAGTGGGCATCAATGCTCATCTTACTTGAAGAGTAAATGCGGCAGTGAAATAAGCAGTAGGCAGTTGCTTCCTATGTTGGGGGGGGGGGATGATGATGATGGGGGGAGGCTTTATGTTAGTGATCCATTCCCACCAAAGCTGAGTGAAATGATCCTGAGTGGCGATCCAGCAAAGCTCCCTGTCCGTTCAAGAGGAAAGTTCTCCCTTCCCTCAACATGGAGAGCAATTTCAGATTTGTTTGGCCGAGGCTTAAATCTCTCTGTNGAGATTTGAACCGCTGAACTGCAGATAACAGTCAGCTGAAATGGCCTGCAGTACTGCACCCTAACCACTGCGCCACCTCGGCTCATATGGGATGTCACTTACAGTAAGCTCATATGCGAGTAAAGGCAGATGAGCGAATACTTTTGGCAATATAGTGTATATTGATATTTTTACTGAGTGATGTCTAAGTCACTTTTCTGGGTTCTGGTGTCTTCTGGACTTGTTGAGATTAAAAAATCCTTAGCTAGGGCTTTTCTTCATCACAATTTCTGGTCCCCACCATCGTGAAGAAGGCTGATCTAGCAAGAAGAACTCATATCCAAAGTTTATCCTAGTTATGCAACTTAGTCCTCCTCTACCCTGAAGTCTGTGATGGATTATTTGACGTACAATACTCTCTGGTTATTTTGAGAAACCCACTTCAGCTTTCGGACAGTGGTGTCCAGCAAGGATCTCTTGAAGCTGCTGGACAGAAAGAAAAAAATCACAGGGTCAAAACAACAGTTGAGGGTTGAAATGCAAAGGACCAGTTCGTTTGCAACATGGAGGGCCTGGATGTTCTGTTCAGAAATGATCCTCATTTGGGCAAGGACGTAGGGTATTCGAACCACATGATAGGGGACAAAGCACACGAAGAAGACTACCAAAACCACAAAAGTCTTTATGACAATCCTGGTGCTCATCTTTTTGCTGCGCTGCTGGGTTTTCTTCAGAGAGACTGCATGGAGCCTGAGCGAGATTTTACCGTAGGAATAAAGGAAAAAGAAGAGCAAAAGGAAGAAAAAAATCACCGCCAACATATTGAGTACGCCCCCGCTGGTGGTCCTGTACTTGAAATGGAAGCACCTGTGCTCACAGGGTCCACTTTTACTAGTGTCCAAAAGGAAGCAAAGCATTGTGACGAAGCAGAGCACCCACACCACCACGGACATGGCCACGCTGAACGACGTGGTGTGGATTCGGAACTGTTGAAGGGGCTTGATGATTTTGAAGTAGCGGTCCAGGCTGATCAAGCTGAGGAACAGAATGCTGACGTACATGGTGATGTAGAAGATCATGCCGACCATCTGGCAGAGAGCTGGAGGACCGTTGTGTTTCTGGTAAGCCGCCCGGAAGGGCAAACAGAGGGCGAGCAAGAGATCGGCGATGGCGAGTTGCTTCATGTAGACCGTGATGGAGTTGGTCTTCAGGGGGCCAAAAGTGAACACCCAGAGCGCCAGGAGGTTGCTAACGAAACCGATGACAGCGATGATGGAGTACATGGCAGGCAGGGTCTCCATCAGGAAGCCATCCTGGATTCCACACGTGGATTCGTTAGAAGATAGGTTAGATCCATTATGGAGATTCTTGTCAAGAAAGGAGCGGATGTCCATAATGCTATGGAAGGAAAATGGCAGAAACAATTAGACGATTCACATATAAATACATTTTGTTGTTTTAACCATTCAGTCGTGTCTGACTCTGTGAAGCCACCACTGGCAGGCACCCATATGCATTTGACAAATATCTAGATAGAGTACTGTTGTGGCCCAGCAGGAGCCATTGGAGCTGCCACCAGACTCCGACAGCGAGGGCCCTATGAGTCGGCTTTGGAGGATGTGGAGGACCCTGGACAGGATTCTGACTCCGAGCAGGGCACAGAGAGGCTGGTTGGCCCCCAGGAGGCGCCTCAGCCTTGGACCAGTGGAGAGGAGCCAAGGGAGTGTGGTCCGGATGTCAGAAGTGGGGAGGAGCCAAGGGAGTTGTTCCTGGATGCACGGCACCGAAGAGCTACTAGGCGTCAGGAACAGTTGTGCAGTTACAGGAGATAATTGCACTCAGCTGGTGGTAATTGGGCTCCTCTCCAGAATATAAAAGGAATGCTTGTGCACATGCCCCTTTTGCAGAAGTCAACGCAGGAACTAATGTTGGAGAACATTATGGTGAGCTTGGCAGGCTGGATTGCTGCCATAGCTTATCTGTGCTGGGTTGCTGCCCAAGCTTGTCTGTGCCAGTTTGCTGCCAAGGACCTACCTGTCTATTAATTAAATGCTCTATCTTATCTTTGGCTCAGAGTGTGTGTTGGTGTGGGACGAGGGGGGGGGGTAAGAACAAAGAAAATATGTTCCTAAGAGCTCCTAAAAGATTTAA